GTACCATAAGTGTTTTAGCAGTGGCTCCCGATCTCTTTGGCTTGGGACCCCTGAAATCACAGGTGATGCTTCATGATGCGTTCGAGTATAAAGTTTAAGCTGTGTCCGGTTAGCCAAAACCTAAATTGTCCTTCTCATATTGATGTATTGGAACGGCATGAGGAGGTGAAACTATTCAGTAATTCACATGGAAAAACAATAAAGCGTTAGGTCTGAGAAAATAAATTTACATACATAGTTTTGGTGGGGTCCCAAACCCCAGGTTGGAAACCATTGTCGAAACACATCACGTCAGATGCCATACTGTTGTTAGTAAAATATGATTTCCTATACAAATGCTTGTATGCACTAGAAATAATACAATCAGTTCATTTGTGTTAGTGTTCGGTAGTCAGTGAGTGGTCCTGCCTGATATCCTGCAAACTGTCTTTTATACAGATGGCAGAAGTTGTGCAAGAGAAAAGTCGTGGCTTGAAGTTTGCAGAGCAGCAGCTCCTGCGTCATGGCTGGGAACACGGTAAGATACTCTGATCTCATTTGTGCAACAATTCAACAATGAATATTTCAGCTCAGATTTCATACTCAGTCCACTCTGTCCTCAGGTAAAGGACTGGGGCGAGCTGAGAACGGCATATCAGAAGCTATCAAGGTCAAAGTGAAATGTGACAAAGGAGGGGTGCGTGACATTTGGTTTTATGCAGCATTTGCTTTCATTTGAATTGATTAATAATGCACAGCTGTAACTGTTTTGGTACCACATCTATCACTGTTTTGTTCTGAACTGTTTGTCTTCTGGAGAAAGCTGTTGTTGGTTGACTCACATGTTGCTCTTCTCCACCAGGTCGGTCACAAGGAAGGGGAGCAGTTCACCTTCCACTGGTGGGATCATGTCTTCAATAAGGCCTCTTCCAGTCTGCAGGTGGAATCTGATCAGGTAAGTCCGACCTTCACATAGCTGAATGTACAAGCACCTGTACTCAACATAACATGATCAGGGGACTCGACATGTTTATCTAAAGGCAGTGAGTGATGCAGTCTTGCTGTATTTTAAAATGTTGTGTACATTTGATTTTTTTGTGGTAATGGGATGACATATTTTAGAATAAAGAAGTAATCACTTATGAGATTCAGCTCATTTATTAGTCAAACATTTGCAAAGGTTACCAGCTGATTCATGACTGTGAAAACTTAACACTCGCTGATTGTAGCTGTATTTAACTACTTTGTTTGGTCAATGTGGGATTATTTTTAGGAGCCATTTGAGAGGTCAAAGCAACAACTTTGAAGTGTCTATTAAGATTAATTTTAACTTTATACTCCTAAACTAACTTTTCAGGTCGTTTGAACTAAAAACTCGGCTGAAACAGCAGCTGATTACACTGATTTGTTCCTCCTCTCTTGTTAATAAGTGAAATCAGCTATGTTTGACAGAAAGTCATGTGGGTTTTTTTTCTGTGTGATCCAGAACGGCATTCAGTTGAAGAAGACCGTGGAGGAAGATGAAGAGAATGGAATGATTTCCAATAAAAAGCCACGGAAAGCCACACTGGCTAAAGCCAAACTTTATGGATGCTTTGTCAAGGTAATCTGTTCATTTGTTCTTATTTATTGGGTGAATATCAATGGATATATGAAAGTGAACCCAAAGAAGGTTGAAGTGAAGGTCTACGGCACAGAGTAGGGATGCACCGAATCTTCGGCCACCGAAATGAATCGGCCAAAAATAGCACTTTCGGTGTTTGGCCTAATAAGTCAAAAGATTGATTTAAATTTTAACGAACAATTACGGTAACATGTCGGCTGTGTGGAAGCATTTTAAAATCGCTGTTTGCAGACAGTTCTGCTGAATTGTCTCCTAGCACATCCACTCCATCTGTGGCTGACTTCTTAAAGGCAACAAACGGTCTGATCCGCTTTGAGTGTTTTCTGTCACTCGTTTCTGAGAAGGTGATTAAGCGATACTTGAGATTAGGATCAGCTCATTGTTGGTTTTGGCCTTTTCATGGAATCGGTTGACAGTATGGGGGGGGGGGAGTAGAACCACCAGACTTCTCAAACAAACAAGGAAGACACATTTCTGTACTTTATTGTATATTCAAATATGACTGATTCAGGTCTGAACTGATGATGACTGTCATTGTGTTTGTTTTTATTTCCAGTCTGCCACACTGCTGTCTGGTCAGGAGCAGCCAGAGCCAAAGTCTTCTAGGTCAGACGACAGCAGTAGTTCAGAGGAGGAGGAGGACGACCAGAAATTGGATCTCTCCAGCACCATTATGTAAGAACTTCTCCTGAAGTAGTCTCTGTTCAGATTTATAAGCTCTTCTCAAAAGCTCCTAATATTTTATCACCATCAACATGATTACAACTACAGAGCACTTCTGTATTATTTATTTACCATCCTATTTCATTCTAGATGTATTAATCATGTTTTCGTTACTGATTTTTGTTAAATATTATTTAAATTGCCTTAATTTAAATGTAAATAGGGCTGTCGCGATAACCGCAAAATTGAAATACCGCGCTATTGGTCAAGCCTACCGCGGAGGATGGCAGTCACCGCAATGTTCATACTGTACACTTCAGTGCGTGTTAAATAAATGAGTGCTTCAAAAGTTCCCCAACTGTAACAAGCTCCGTAACGGTTCAGGGATGGATCGCCATGGGGCTGTACGTGACCGACTTCAAACTCTGAAGTTGTGTTGTGTTTTACTGTTCATTTTAAAGGTTAGCTAACTTGGCGTTAGCATATTGCGCGGCTAATGTGGCTAGCAGGCTCGGCGATGTTGGACTAACATTGTGATCCTGAAGGACAGTCCAGAGAAACTGTGGACAGTAAGCCTCATTTGAAACTCACTAAGGAGCGTAGTGTGTCGGATGCCTGCAGCTGTTTTTCATGTTGCTTTCTGTGGAAGTTCAAGTTATAACGTTACTACAGCGCAGTGGTTAATTGCGGACAGCCATTCGGCGGCGCGCGCGCGGCGTGTGTGTTGCTGCATATGTAAATTGACTTGATAGACATGCCCTGAAGGTAATGAAATGGCTACATGTGAAAAAGATACGGCCAAACTACAAGTAGTTTGCTTGGCAATGTTGTTGAATAGCACCCAGCAGCTAGCTTGCTCAGACACAGTCTTACTCTGCTATATGGCACCAAATTACTTCATTAATGAAAGATGCGATAATACCGACTACCGCGTTGTTGAGTCCTAACATATTTCCACCGTGACAGCCCTAAGTGCAAAAGTTCTCTGTAACTTATAACTCTGTTTTGAACAGTGCTGTAGAATTTAAGTTATTTATTGATGCTTGACAGGCTTTCTGACGCTGATATAATGAAGGCTTGTGGAGGACGCACAGCTCACAAGTAAGTTTTTATTCATAAAATTTCCATGTTGCTTAAAACCTGTTTTTAGTATACAAGTATATTATAATATTTCAGAATAAGTGAAGTTTGGGGGAAAGGATTTCTGGTGGGGGGTGATGCAGCAGTGGATACGACACATGCCTTTGGTGTGAGAGAACCGGGTTTGAATCCAGTGTGAGAAACCAGTGTGTCCCTGAGCAAGACACTTGACCTCTAGTTGCTTCAGAGGCGTACAACCTCTGACACATAGCAATTGTAAGTTGCATTGGATGAAATGTAAGCTAAATTAATAAATGTAATTTATTTCTGTTATTTAGAGGAGCCAGGCACGGCTTGACCATGAGCGCCAAGTTAGCCAGGCTAGAGCAGCAGGAGGCTGAGTTCATGGCTAAGTATGGGAAAAAGAGCAAACCAGCAACACCGACTCCACAGACCTCCCAGTCAGCTGATCAGAAAGCTGAGAGACAGGAGGAGACAGCTGAGGACTCCAAGAAGAGATCCACTGGGAGCATTATGGCGCTAAATGGCGAAGTATCTAAAAGTCCTGAAATGGATGTTAAACCCAAAAAGAAAAAAAAGAAAAAGAAAGCTAGTGTGGACAGTGAGGAAATAACTAATGCAGTTTCCCCTGAGGGGGATGTGAGCTGTGTGGAAAACGGTGAAGCAGACCGTTCTCACAAAACTAAGAGGAAACATAAAAAGAAGAAAAACAATGCAGAGCAGCATGAAGAAGAAAAGACACCTTCACCTGCAGCAGAGAGCAACAGTCTGGCTGCTGAGCTGCACTCTGACACAAAAGTGAAGAAAAAGAAGATGAAATCCTCCAAACGCCATAGTGAAGCTGCTGACGAAGAGCGTAATGATAGTGAATCCAGCCAATCAGAGCCGGTCCGGGACTGTGCTGAAAAAAAGAAAAAAGCTGCAATTACTTTTGAGGAAGCAGAAGTTACAGAGGAGAAATCAACAGTAAAGCAGAAAAGGAAAAAGTGTAAAAAGGACAAAACATATGTAGATGACAATATTAATGAGGAAGGACTTCCTTCAAAGAAGAAAAGGAAGTCGTCCAAAGAGTAGAATTTAAAGTCAAATGCTTTGGACATTGATAAGCTGTTTTTTCTTAGCTGAAAGTTAGCATTACCGTGAATCAGCCCTGGTGAGTTATGTGCCAAACATTGACTTTATGGAGGCTGTGCTGTCTGGTTTGAAGGGGCGGTAAATTAATTTAGATGTTTTCCACTGATTGGAGAGTATCTTTATTTATTAATTCAGACCAGTAGCCAAACAATCCGACAGTCGTGCCACTTCTGCCTGTTAAACAACCTTAAGTGAATACTGTCAAATAGATGTTGCAATCAATATTGTCTGAGCTGTTGAATATTACGAATGTCAGATTTTCAAGTGACTAAAGAAATCAGTTTAGTTATTTTTTTGTGATGCAGACCTTTAAATTGTGGATTGTACTGTATACAACAGGAAATGTGTTCGGCTGAATCAGTCGGTGTATTTGATTGATCATTGATTTGACGAGTCTCCATTCTCAGCTAATCCACAAGGTGCAACCCAAAGCCAGCTTTTCCAAACACAATATGAAATTCAGTGTTGTTTCTGCATCATGAATAACTATTCTTGAAAGTGTTTGACAAGGGTCATTATTTTATTCAAAGGAGGTAAAACATGGAAGAGCACATGAGATTCTGAACTTTATATACAAATTAAATGACGTGACACATCAAACTGCACTTGTAATTCTTTCAGATGTACAGACTTTACATTTTATAGATAGATCGTGAAGAACATTTCTGAGCAACCTCCTTGAATAAATAATTTAAAAAGCTGACATTGTTAATGCTCCTCATTTAAATTAGAGATGAGTACTTCAGATGCTTATTTATTTTTTTCTTTGTTTTTTCACAACTAATAACTGAACTTTCTATAACCTCAGTTGCAACAGATTACATAAATCACAGAAATGGAGAAAGTTTGTGACGGGAAGGTCAAACTCTGCTAACAGTTTGTCTCAATACTTTACAACAGATTGACTCAACTGATGTATTCGATGCAAGCAATGAACCTGGAGGTGAATTACCTCATAACAGCATGTTTTGTTCCATAATAATTTTAAGCTAAAGTGCAACAAAGACTGGTGTACTCCCAAGAAGAGTGAAAATGTAACAGAAAAGGTATACACCGGATTCATTTTCATATAATACCACCATCTTCATGACTCACAAAAGTAATGAAAATAATTGGTTTTTATATAGCACAATTTATGACATAAATGCAGCTTAGTGTTTATACAAAACAAAGAAGACGGGACAAAAATAATGAAAAGTAGAATAATGATCTAAATTATAATAAGAAAGGTAAAATAGTAATGACAAGTAATAGCAATAAAAACAAAGAAATAGTGAAATACAGGATATAATAATATAAAACAATATAAAATGTGATTATGATTGAGTATAGGCCAAAAGTAAATGTCAAGGAGTGTAAGAGCCCAGGTCCATGACCTTTTTTGTCTTTTTTTGCACAACACATTCAGACACATTGGTCATTATGTAACAGCAGGGACTTCTGGACTTGCGTACAGCAACTTGCCACAGGAACAGAACTTTGTTGCATAAGTTTGTAAATATTTGGTGTAAATGTACTTGCTTGCAAAAAGGATTTTGAATTTTGGATGATCATAAGAAAGAGTGAGCAGTGAGTACATTTTCCACTGACTTGTATTCAATCGTACTACCTTGAATAAATATTGATATTGTGGATGTACATTGTACAGTATCTCGCCAGCAAAGGTCGCTGATATCTAGCCATAATTCAAAGATGATTACAAATCGGAGGTAGCTGGGCTTTTCGTTTATATTGAGAATCCTAATCTCCAATGGAAATCTGCTCCAGTGAGTGTGAATACAAACAGATGTGGAAGAAATTGTTTTGTCATCATTTCTTGATACTAGATACTAGACATCTGTTCAAAACAACACATGAAAGTAGCTAATAAAATACATATTCATACAACTTTTTAAACAATATTACAAGTAGACAAAACACTTACAAATTAATTTGTCCTAAATCTATTTCAGAAACATTCCTCATATTATTGTTATATATTTGTTTGAATTTTCCAAAATTAGTGACAGTTTTGGAAATGCAGTTTTGCATGCAGCATAAGCGCTAACTAATTAGACTTTATCAGAACTTCACTCTCACAGATGAATTTGTTATTCATTTCACAGTCTGCTGGGTCCCAGCTGTCTGTAGCATTCTTCCACGGGATCATCAGTGCACATGGACCAAGTGTACCAAGGTCCTCTTTAATCCAGTACCTTCATTCACAGAACACGAATATCAGTACCTTTAGTAACATTTCTACTGCTGCTAATACAACTAATAAAGCAGACAAATAAAATGTGTTGAAGAACAAAAAATGGCAGATAACATGCAAATATAATGAGAATAAAATATATATAATTTGCATGAATTTTATGAAGATTCTCATTCAACCTGTTCATGTAGTTCATTCACCAGTTTATTTATTCATTTGAGACTGACATTCTCGACATTGAAAACAGCAGTTTGGATGAAACAATCTCATCACAATGTCCATAAGCTGTTTTGGAGTTTTTAACTGTATCACACAATATTCCTTAGCAGATAAAATTTGTCCTGTTGTCATGGATTTTCAACATTCAATTATATTTTCTTATTTCTGAGCATTTCAAGGACTTCTCCTCCATGTTGGTTTAAAGCTTGAGATTAAAATGATCAATCTCGTGAGTGCTCAGATCTTTAGGTAAAAGTAGTAATGCAGACCGCAGGTGCCACAGTCTGTTGAGTGCCCGCCCTACATGCAAGACTTAGACTCAATCCTCATAGCTGTGGCCTTGGGTTTAAATCCTACGTAGGGCCCTGTGCAGCGCGTCTTCCTCTCTCTCTTACTAATTTCCAGCATCTCTCTCCATCCTATCCAAATGAAGGCTAAAAAAACCCTCAAAACAAAACAAAAAAAGTAGTAATACCTCAATGTACAAAGACTCTGTTACAAGTAAGTCTTGCATTCACAACTTTAAGTGAAACTACATGTGTATCATTATCAAAATCTAGGCTACATGGCCCCTATCAGAGAATTATGTGCTACAAAGTGTAGTATTATTACTTGTGAATTAACATTTAAGCAGTAATGATGTAGCTAGATGATGTGAAGCTAATTTTAACAACATTAAGTAGTAGTAAGTAGTAATTTATAGCAGTGTATCCTATCCTATAAGATAATTCAAGTACCACAAAACTGTACTTACAGTCCTTGAGTTACATTCCACCACTGACTAAATAAGGGAAGACCCCCTTGTGTGTGCAGTATATCATATATGTATATTTGTTTTTGTGTAAAAACAGCAATTTGTAGTTATAGGGGGAGTTTATGTACCAAACCATTTCTTGACCGGGACCAGTCTTCACTCGTTGCCTAGCGACTGGCTGAAAAATAGTTTACGGTGTGCTAGTATGTGAATATGGTTTCCTTTGGACAGACCTTTGACTTTGTGCTAAGCTAAGTTAGCTATATGCTAGCTGTAGCTTTATATTTACCGTATGCATGAGAGTGGAATCAATCTTCTCATCTAAATCTTGGCAACAAAGCCCATTTCCCAAAATGTCAACCTATTTCTAAAGGGACAATTCTCTGTGGACACTTTTATTTGGAGTGGTATTAGGCTGAAGAGACTATTTTAAATCCTATAATACCATTTAAATTTACTACAAAGTTATATGTACGTATCCATGTTGTTTTGGTCAAAACACTCCCCAGTAGAAGATGTCCTCATTTTAAAACGTACACGTACAAGCAAGTACTGCAACTTTACTCACACAAAGTAAATTTACACAAAGCTGTACTTCTCATAGACAACATACACACAATCCGACTTGTAGGACGTTCACTGCCTTGCTTAAATGCACCACGCTTTATGTTCCTGAACAGCCTTTAATATATTCTAAGTTTATTTAAAAAAAGATTTGTTGGAGAGCTATCAAGACTGGATGGATAATATTCAGGCTGAGATGAGTTTAAATGTTCATTGAAAGGAAAAAACTTTCTTACCTTAGAGTGTCATTTCGTCCATCAACCCAGAGCCAGTTTTTGTTTGTTTCATTTAATCCGATCCAGTATCCATGGTATTTATCATAGTAGTATTTGGTGTGATTATTGATGAATTCCTGTAAGTCACAACGTGGCAGATCATCAAAAACATGCATTTTCACACTCTGCCTCCGGAATAAATAAATTTGGAAAGTTGGAAATGTTTTTAGGTTACCTTGGTTCTCTGAATTGGCATATAATCTCTATATCTAAATTGAAAAACAAGTAAAAACTATTTGAGTTTCGTGTGTCTTTATGGTGTTGGAGTTTACCTGTTCTTGTAGACTATCAACTACAACAAGATCTGCTGCTGCTGCTGCTGTTTGTTGGCAATACGTTCGGCTTTGTCCCCATGTCTTCCAAGGAGCGTCTTCATTGTAAAACAGGTAGCACTTTCCCTGGAACATAATCCAGTTGTTCTTACATGGCTGACACTCTGCAGTCATGACAAAAGAGAAATTAACAAGTGCTCTTGGGATGACAAATACAACAACAGAACATCACCTTCAATTTTAGAAGTTGGGCAACATTGACAAACTATCTTTGTTAAATTATTAAAACACATGCAGGGGTACTATACTCTTGATCATCCAGAGGCTACTTCTTTTTAATAAATGTATCTATACACAGTAAATTTATATTTGTGAGTTAAGAACTAGACATACTGTATCGTCAACATAACAAGACACACTTACTCTTTTCTGGGCAGTATTCATTTACTGGAAAGTTGCTGAATTTCAGGATGACTCTCAATGTCCAGTTGAGATTGTCTGTGACTTTGCTCAGCTCCTCTGCCTCTCTGCCTAAGATGTTCCTCTCAGTGAGCAGCTGCTGATTCGCTGCTGTGAGGGCCATTAAGTTTGCTTTCTGTTCGGTCATTACCACACTGACTATGGTGACAATAAGAATGAGATGGCAATCAATGGATGCATTTGGTATTATCAGAGAAGCATTATTTGCCATAAGCTTTACTCCTGACCTTTTCTTCCCCACCTAAAATTGCTTTCAATTTGTCCAATCTGACAGGGCCATTTTAAAAACCGTTTCTAACAACCAGAAAGTTAGCTGTTGAACAGCATCCATTAGAGTATGTTGTCAGAAAATAAACTAACAGATGTAGATTTGGGCAACATGAAGTTCAAACTAGTTCTGTTCGAGCATAACACAACCCTTAGTTTCTTGCTTTAAAAAGGTTGCTCTTTAGCATCATCTCTCAAATCACTGATATCAGATTGCCCTTAAACACAACAACAGGTAGAACTTTTAAAAAGGTTCCTTCTTACTGTTGCATTACCATATGATGATAACCAAACTTTAAACAAAAAGGTGATAAAATGTCACCATGTTTTATTAACAATCTGTCTTAAGCAACTTTCAGGTCTCTGTAAGTTAATTCAAATAGCGTACTGCAATGAGAGAACTGCCGAGAAATTAATCTAAAAACGTATAGTATCCTGTGAAAATGTTTTATGTATGGTCCTTCAATGTCAAACTGGATCATTAAATTGATTAAACTAACCAAAAAGTAGACCACTGGAAACTTCAAATCGGAATAAAGCGTAAAATACAGACTCACTTCTAAAGGACAGCAAGCAGGTCCGATCACACAAAGCTGAACTTGGATTATGTAACTATTTTATTCTGTTAGTAAAACACATCCCAGGCTGACGGTTGTAAAAGATTTTATGTTAGCTACTCTGATAGTTCACTGAAATTTACTTGTTGAAATGAAACTCACTGTAGATGATGCTACTTATGCTCGCCACCAGGAGTACGCAGAGTATCCCCACACACACAGCCAACATACGAAAGTGATGGTTTGCAGGTGCTTCACCATCTGCTTGAAATGTGAAAGCTCATATTCCAATCAGGATTGTAATTATAATCAGCTTTTTCATTAACACAATTATTATGGTTGCAAGACCAAAATATATTCTGACATACAACTATCATCACTTCTATAATCACACAGGACATATTAATGAAAATTATTGATGTTTCTTCAGGAATACATTTGGCAAAATTGTAAGTACCAGGAATACCCAACATTTAAGTTTTCAGAAGGCTCCAAGCCCAACAAAAAGAGGAGATTTAGCCTTATTTAGTTGTATTTTCTCCTTTGTGAAGTACTTTGTAACTGTTTTAGCAATCTACTTAAAATAATAATTTAAATAAAAATAATAATTCCTCATCATCATAAAGTGTGAATTTGTACATGTTACATGAATAAAGCATTTTGTATTGTTTATTGTATGCTGTGTAGCTTAACTGATTAAATGACTTTATAACTTACCTGGTACAGGAGCAGCAGGACCTTTAGGTTTTACTTCGGAATCAATTGCTAGGTCCTCTTTTTTCTCTGAATGTAATAACAACATGGGGAAATTGTATGAGACATGAATTTATAGTGATGACTGAAATTAAATTGTTTGGTGTAGAGTACCTCCTGTTGAACGGGAAGGGACATGAAATAGTGATCATTTATGGGAATGAAAGTGTTTTTGGATGGGAAGTATATAGGGGTCAAACATTAGGATTTTTTATGCTTGCGGTGCTGGATGAATTATAATTTTTTCCCCAATGATTTGATGCATTTCTGCCAACTGTTTTCCAAGACTGCAAATGCAGTGATCACAATGACAGATGGGGGGCAGCTCTGGTTCAAAAGGCTCCAAGCCAAACAAAAAGAGGAGATTCAGCGTTTATTTGCTTTTATTTTCTCCTTTGTAACTATTTTTGAGAAATCTACTCAAAATAATAATAATTCCTCATCATCATATAGTGTGAATTTGTACATGTTACATGAATAAAGCATTTTGTATTGTTTATTGTATGTTGTGTAGCTTAATTAATCATCATAAAGTGTGAATTTGTACTTAAGGTAAAGCATATTGTATAAAACTAGAATGTTGTAGAGCTTATTAACTGATGAAATGAAAATAAGATAATCAACAGATTGGATAACTTACCTGGTACAGTATTAGCAGGACCTTTATGTTTTACTTCAGAATAAATTGCGAGGTCCTCTTTTTTCTCTGTAAGACAGTGAGAACATGGGTAATTACTGGAAATTATTATTTGGGGGGAAAAGTCATGTTAAATTGGAGTGTACTGTACATCATAGCTGGGAAATTTTGCAAACAAGGTAAGAACAACCCTTAGAAATATGTTGACAAACTATTCTTAATCTTAAAAAAACAGTAGTCACTTACCCTTTGGAGCTGGACCACCATTTTTAAACAACACTGTAGAATAATTGATTTCTTCCTCCATCCTTAAAAGACATACATTGCAGTACTTGATTCAGTGCAGAAAATGAGTGCGGGCTATAACATACACTGGTGCCGTTGCGTGAAAGGTGTGACAGAACAAACAGAACTCATCATAAAGAACAGTGGTAAGTTCCTCTTCCCTGTTTCCTCTCTTCCGGTACACAATAGAAGAAGTACGCTCATTTCACCTGTGATTTCTGGAGGGTTACGTATTTAGTTTCTTAACTGATGATCAGACTAGTTGTAAAATACTGTCTGGTTAAGGGTCGACACTGATGTGTGTGAGATTTTATATTATTGTTATTGTTAACAAATTCTACCTACAATGTGTTGGTCAGTCTGCATGTTTGACAGTACGTCCTCCCCTGTCTGTAGCACTCAGCCCCACGCCTATTTGTTTTTACTGAAGGCATAAATCTTAACGCTCTGTAGTTTCCTAAAAGAAGCAGGATATGGTAGATTTTAGAAAACATTACTCAAACAGGAGTAAATAGTGTATTTGATGGGGACTAAAGAGGGACTACACTAAAGAGCATTTATGGCAGTACGACATATGTGTGAATTTGGACAACATTGGAGGTCTATGGCACAGAGGAATAAATGACAGTAGGATGTTTGTTTTGTTCTTTTCATGGGGTTTGCTGACAACAAGAAAAATATAGAATATAACCAGAATTATCTTTCTTTCTAAAAAGTAGCTTTCAATTCTTAGGAAATGTTGGTAATTGACACTTAGTGGATACTTTATTAAGTCTATTGGAATGCAATACAACAATTCTCTCAATTAAATTCCAGTACAACATTACTATGGCCTCAATGCTAAAACATATAATTGAATTAACAATTCTTTTATCCTAAACACCTATACATTATAAACTTCAGTTGCAAAGCCGTGATATTGGATTGCATTAGATTGTAGTAGATAGATGATAGATGACGTTCAGTTTGCATTCTTATCTCTTTGATATAAAGTGCATTCAAGCATGCTAAATATAACTCAAAGGTGATGTACACTGCAACATTTGTAGAAATGGATACTTGCAATAAATTAGAAAAAGACAACAAAAAGAAAACATGCATAATAATTGCAACATAATTTAAAAAATTTAAAAATCTGGAAAAACACCACACAAAAAAACTTGTCCTGGTAGGCCAATAGATTAATAAATAAATGTGACATAATCTATTTGGATAATGAAGCTGATTCCTCGTCTGGTTTGATCAAGGCTCTAGTTTCACAGATCCACCGGTTCCTCAAATTACAGTTCACTTTGTGCCAGTTGGCGAGAGGATCTGCACGTGGCAGAGTTAGAGCACAATATCCCTGGTTTCCTGGTTGTTGTGTTACCCAGTACCTAGTGAAGAAAAACGAATTAGATGAGAAGATTGATACTACGCTAAAATCTGTCCATTACATGTTCATCTTATGCCAGCAGACGATTAGCTTAGCACAAAGACTGGAAACAGGGGGAAACAGCTAGCCTGGCTCTGTTGCTACCAGCAATTTGGTTGAAGTTTGGAGTTTTGTATTCTCCAGGAAGTCACAGTCAAGAAACACTCCGGCACATAACCTCCGTTTTGTACATTAAACAAACAAGCAAAAAAGTGTCAGTATGTGAGCATCAGAGGTGCTGTTGGTGGATTTGTCACCTTTGGACAGAGCCAGGCTATACTGTTTAATACTAATGTTTCCAGTTTTTATGCTAAGCTAAAACGCACGTTTTTGCATGTGTATTTGTCCGCAGTCAAGTTAGCAAGAATAAAATACAAACAATGTTCTCCTGAGTGAAAGTCCGGTTTCTGATGAGAGGGAGGTAATGTGTGAGTCTCAACACTGTGTCACACTGTGAGTAAATACTCTGTACAAGTGTGTTAGACTAATGGTTAACTGTTAGAGTAAACACATTAGACCAGCAGCAGTGTTTGTGCTAAAAGAAGAAAATTTGTCGTTTCCTTCCTCTTGGCCCTCTTTACTTCTTTTGGCAAAGTTTTTCTCTTTGGCATTACTGAGGGAGATGGACATGTGATTTGATCTACTTTTTACTCATTTTACAATTTAAGAAACTGGAAGATTTTTGCTTTCAATACATATCTCTACAACGCAGTGACACAAAATGAAGCATACAGGAGTCTGACAATCTTCTTGCTTATGGTCTGGTTTATTTAGAAATGATAAAGTAATGTGTTTTTGGACTTACATCAAAGTGAAATTGCTTCCATCTACCCACATCCAAGTGTCCATTGTATTCCTGTAGCTCAAACCAATCCAATAACCATGCATTTCATCTTTGTAGTCTTTTGTATGGTTATTGATGAATTCCTGAAATTGCAATACGTGCGTTAATTAAGAAAAATGTAACTCCTTGTCTCTGCTATAATATAATACTAATAATGATGTTTTTCAAATTAATTCTACAGCACATTTCAAACAGAAATATCCAATACAATAATGTTCTCACCAAAGAAGAAAAATACACATGAAAAGACAGATGAAAGAAAATGGAAAATTAAAAACAGCAGAAAGGAATCGAGACACATAAAAGAGATTTAAAGTGTGGAATTTAGCTATAAATCTTAGGTAGGATTTCAGAACAATTATAATAGACGGATTAATTAAAAATATTCAAACACATCATCTTTTGCGTCTAAATTACTGTCAGTTTCATGTTCAAACTTTTGGATACCATGCATTTCCATCTCTGTCTAGTAAGGTAGCGATGGATACCCTTTGTTTCAGCATGAAAATGCAAATTTAATCAAATGAAGTAAGTCTTGCCTGTTCCTCCTGGCTTTCGATCACCACCAGATCTGCCATCTTTTGTTTGCATTGATCACGGCTTCCCTGCCAACCCATCGATTCAGGGTAATAATTCGATTTCGAAAACAGGTAACAGTTCGACTGAAACAGCACCCAGCCGTCTAGACAAGGTTTACACACTGTTAAACAAGAACAAGACAACACAATCATAATCATCATAATTTTCTGTCACATGTAAAATACATATTATAAAATTAAAGAATATATACAGTATATTCTCTTTATATCCTTTAAGACATTTTCTTTTATCCCTTTTATCTTTGACCAGGTAATTAAAAAACATTGATGAATTGAACATTTTGTGACAGAATGTTCAAACTTTTGAAGATGAATCATGACATGAAATAATGTAAAATAAAAAATAAAAAAATAAAAATGAAAATGCCATAATAGTTAAGTGCAATTACTGCAGTTGCAATGATGGGTGCTCAAAAGTAAGTGAGTAGAAGTCCAGGAGCAGTGGCAAAACCCAAATTGACCCCAACTTAACTAAGGTTTCACCTTTCTGTGGGCAGTGGGTATTAACTGGGAAGTTCTTATATTCCAGGATGACACCGATGGTCCAGTTGAGTCCGTCTTTCTCTCTTGTCAGCTCTGCTGTCTGTTTCTCTAAGTCGGTCTTTTCAGTCCACAGCTGCTGGTTCATTGCTGTTAAGTTGATGTTTTCTCTGTACTGCTCTGACATGATTGTGCTGACTGCAGACAGGGAAGAAACTGTTACTGTTGGACTCACTTCTTACTGTCTCTTTGCCTTGAAAGTCCTTCAAAGCAGGTATAGACGGATAGACTTACAGTGTATACTGAGGGCAATGACGACTGACACCAAGATGACACAAATAATCCCCAAACTTGCTGCCACCAGATGGAGCAGAGTAGGCCATTGCACCAGAGCTTTCTTTTCATTTTCTACCAAGAACACCAAACAACGCAACTCAACACAACACAACTCATTATACTAGTTTATATCAAAAAGTTACATAAATCATTTTTTTTCATCCTGGAAAACTACTACCTGGAAAATCAGGATTCGTATCCCGTGCTTGCTCCCCAGTCTTCACCTCATCATAGATTACTTCCAGGTTGTTTGGTTTGTCTGTAAAAGCAAAGGAGCTTAAAGGTAATTGAATATTTGTGATTTTTAAAGATCCTGGTCCATCATCTGGCATTTCCAAATCTGGCATTTCAAGACACTTGTAAACAGAGGAACATGTGCTTTCTTTTCTGATAGCAAAACCTGATGTTTACCATAATACTGAGTTTATTTCTATTCTATTTCTATCAGACAACATGTAGGTACTCTGAAAACGCTGTGTGTTAACTGATTATCCATGGAAATTTTAAAACTACACAAAATTAAACTATAACACAGACAAATAGCAGCCTTCTAATTGTTAAAATATATAGTGTTTTCTTTTCTTTTGTCAGGCCAAGCACTGTTAAAACCCACAGAGCTTTATTTTAACTTTTTGTTGAGATCCTAAAGTTTCCAAAGATACCATATGCTGTTAGGCAATTTAAAATGCTGCAATGCTGGAATGTTGCAGCCAGAAACATCATATATCATAGTTCAGCTTCAAAGTCTTGAAGTGAGAAAAACATTATTCTAAATTTAAAGAAACTTAAGGGTAAATATAAGATGACAATTAGGATTTTAATCGGTTTAGAAGAATTACTTTTTCACAAATACTGTATTTTTACATAGAGAGCAGGTTTACTAAAGGTAAACATAATGTGTGTGCAATCATACATAAATATATTCTAAAGTATGTCTGGGAGCTACCTGGTACAAGCAGAGTGACCTCCTCAAGAGTCAGTGGTGGGAGAAGTATTCAGATTCTTTACTAAGGTTGCAATCCCACAATATAAAATACTGCATTAAAAGTAGTGTCCAAGTTGTGCATTCACAATCGTACTAGAGTACAAATATTATAAGTTAAATGTTGTTTAAGTATCAAGAGTATAAGTAGTCATTACATTAAAGTAGTCACTGGAGCAAATGTACTTCCACCACAGTGAAAAGGTAAGTTTGACAGCTCTGAGTTCAGTACAGCAGACGCCAAAGTACAACAAACAATGCAGGCTGTGATCCAAAAAAAATGACTGGATGACTTACCATTTATAAAAGTGCCATTATTGTTGAAAGTCACTGTTGCATAATTCAGTTCTTCCTCCATTATTTTATCAGGTCTATTGTAGACAGTGTTCACCTTGTCTCAGTTTGAAACTCAAACCGCCTCAGAGGTCTAAATGTAAGGTCATTGTGAGTGCACTTTGGTTTGGTTTCAGAGACAGTCCATCCAGCTGTGAGTCAATGGCATTCAGTTCTTCTTTTTGGCAGAATGTCATAAGACAGACAAGTGGTAGTTATGGGGAATTGGGTTTTTTTGTTTGTTTGTTTGGTGGGCAGGAGCAAAGTTCAGCATACATTGGACAAAGGCCAGGCCATAACAGGTCTTATTTTTATGTGTCTAAACAAAAAAAAGTTAGCATAACTAAATTGTTAACAGAGTTGGCAGTGAAATTTTCTCTTTACTACATCAGGTGGTTGTTCTTTTGACTGCTTCCTTTGTTTTGTAAGAACTCTCAGCATGTTGAAACATTTCACATATCAAAGTAGACATTATGTAGCTTTACAGTAATCTGTGGTTTATTTACTGGTTTGTTGTTTAAGTGCCAACATGTTGTTCCTATATTGATATGTCTTAAAGGGTAACCTGTCTGTCAATAACCTTATTACTTTTAGAAAATTTTACAGAAACACAACAATTTCATTGTTCTTTTTCTAATAAAAATGTTAATCACAATGTGTTATAATAATCCCAAGGTTGAGTAAAGCAGTTAACATATATGAGCATGGTTTTTCCACATTCATGCAAATCAACTACTTTTCTGTGTTGTGATTAATTTTAATCAACATTATTTTCCCAAAACAGATGAAGTTTATTCTGATAACTCACGTTGGGATTTGAATTTGCCAACCCAGGCCAGCACTACCTGTAATCAATCAATTGTTTTTGTGTTTTTCAAAAGTCAAAAGCAAAGATTTGTGAAGGTGATCTAACTGGAAGAGATTATCTGAATGACTGAATGAGTGAGAGACCTGACAGACTTTTAAAAAGTAGTAATTCATAAATCAATAGACCTGATCCATTTTAACCTAATATGTTGTAAAACTGTTTGCCCAGCAGATGGCAAGCTAAGTCTCTATTTATAGACTGCATTAAAACTCTTCCTTAAGTAAAACTCTATATTATCTATTATGTATAATGTTTTAGGATTAATATTACTGCATTGATGTGTATCTTGCATTTTGCTGGCAATTATCTGCATCTAATTTAACTACTTTTTATCCTGCAGAAAGTCACCAGATTAAAATGAATGATAATAATCTCCAGATTTGGAGATAAATGGTGTTCACTAGACAGGAAGGGTATATAAAATGTGATCTGAAAATGAATTAGTAAGATGTCAGACAAACGTGGTGGTGAAAGTAAAATATTTGCCTCTGAAATGTTGTGGTGTAGAAGTACTAAGTTTTGTACTTAATAGTACTTGTTCTAATTCCACCACTGTATAAATCCTACTTTCATGAAAATTATTATGGTCACTTTTTATTGAAACTGTTTTAGAGATAATTTTGGAGACTGTAGTTTGTGGTGCTGTTGCCTTCATTGCCTTGTAGTGACAGATATTGTTTTATTATTTTGTCCATCCCGTTTATATCAATAAGGGTAGGCTAAATAATTATACTTATACACTTATAGTTAACATTGAAAGAAATGTAAAGTAAAATTGAAAGAATTGATAAATGGCTCAATTAATGGCACAATATTAACACTGAAACATATTTGCTTGACCTACTGAAGTAAACACTTTGAAAAACGTATTAGTCAGCTGTGTTTGATATCCGGTGTTTTCACTTCTAGATTAATTTAAACACAGGCTACCTTTGTAAAAAGAAGTGTAAGACCAACATGAAGAAGTAACCTAATCTTAAACAGCCTAGCCTAACCATTTACCTATAGCGGCCCAACAAGTAATTTTGTTGCCTATCTGGCTATAATAAAGTAATAATCTGCATGAAGAACAAGAAATGACGCATGTGTATCAGAGCTAACTGACAAATCAGCGAGCAGGATCTCTTCAGGAAACGCTTTCCGGGTATTCTACCTGCGGCAAAGAAGTCACAAGGAGCCACAGAGTCTCAACACTGACACAGTCTCATTGAAAAGGCTGGAGAAGTATAAATATATTGTAAGGACTGTCCCGACGAGCAGCGATGGTTTGCGGCGGATTCATTTGCACCAAGAACGCTCTCTGCGCTCTCAATATACTTTATGTTGTAAGTAGGAAATTAGGCTATTCCTGTTATGGGAATATAACCCAAAGAGAGGTGTTACTAAAAAGGTTAAAAAGGCAACACGTTCTGCTTCTGTCTTGACTGTTACTCGGAAATTCACCGCACCTGTTAGTTTAATAGGAAAGAGAGAAAATTTTTTAGGTTGTTTTCTGACTCACATGGGAGACGTTTGCCCTCTGGGCTATCAGTCAGAAACTCTTTTCAGAAAGCCTAACTACTTGGTTAAGTTTAAGAAAAGGGGAGTTCTACCAGAAAGCCCTGAAGGCATGCGTGCTTTTCTAGTCACTTTCCTTGCTGAAGAAATGCCACAGGCAGGTGTTTGTAGTAAATAATTAGGCTGAGTTTATGTGCGCCAGTTGCTTTGGCCAATGTTTGTATAGCTTTACGCCGTTATTTAAAAAAAGAGAGGCTTAGTGTTACATTAATGCATAGGCCTACATACTTATTTCTCTGCCAGGGAAATATCACATTCATAAATCAACAAACAATTTCTGACTCAATGTAAGAATTTTTCCCCTCACTATAGTGGAAGACTTGGATCGTCCCTAAACATTCTTTGGAAATAAAATGCAGGAAAGAAACTGCTGATCTACTGAAAGACGTTGGTGTTTAATCAACTCTTAATTTCTTTATACCAGTAATTCACTTTATTTCGTTAATCTGTTCAAGCCCTTGATTTAGCCCGTTTTCTAGTAACTCTGGGAGTGTTGTATGCATAGATTTCTGCTATCTCCTGTTCTGCATGCTTAAGGTTATGAAAAAATGAAACCTAAATTTCTAACTCACTTAGGACTATAAATATCTAGTCACTTGCCTTGGAGACAAATAACTTTGTGTTTCTTTTAAAAAAAAAAAAGGGGGGGGGGGGAGCCAATAATTGGATTTTAAATTTATATTTGAATAAAGCTCTTGTGTCAATTAGTCAATGGAAAATTAAACTGCAACTAAAACCTCTGATTTTTAAACAGGTTTTATCTTCTCACATGAGGATTTGATGCTTTTCTTTGTCATACATGATATCTGAATAGCTGGTTTTGGACTGTTTGGACAAAACAACATTGTCGTCACCGCGGGCTAAGGGAAGTTCTAACAGGCATTTGTTCACTGAAAATAAATTGGTGTGGTTCCCCTAATAGTAGCAAACAAAATACATCATGTAAATCAGTTTGTTTGTGCACTAACCTTAATGTTAATATACCCTTTATGTTAGATAATTTTGTGTTTGCATCTTTAAAACAAAACACTGATCTTAACTGCCACATCTTGATTGTATACCATCAATAGTTGTAAACGGACTGCACTTACATAGCACCTTTCGACCACTCGTGTCTTCATGATCAGAAAACTCAACTGCTCATCAGAAAGGGCAACACAATTTTGGGTTCAACATCTAGCTCAAGGGCACTTTGACATGCAGATTGGACACCCTGGGAATCAAACCACTGACCTTCTGATTCTCTCTCACACTACTATCTGAGCCACAGCCCTTTGTGTTTTTTAGCACCTAAACAGGCTGGTCTCTCAGTCTGCATACAGCCCAAACAACCTCCACCATTAAGGAAAGGGTGCCTTTATGTAGCCTGAAAACCAAGCGATATTGGTAATAACCTGAAACTTTAAATGTTGGAACTGACACCAGCACTTTAAGATTTAGATGCTCTGGAAACAATGTTTTGGAGGGAGAAGAATGTCATTTTAGTCTGGACAGTGACATGCAGTCCCCTCCAAATGTATTGGAACAGTAAGGCAAATTCCTTTGTTTTTGTTGTTCACTGAAGACATTTGGGTTTAAGATCAAAAGATGAGTACGAGACAAGAGTTCAGAATTTCAGCTCTCATTTCCTGGTATTCACATCTAGATGTGTTAAACAACTCAGGACATATCACCCTTTGTTTGAACCCACCCATTTTTCAAGTGAGCAAAACTATTGGAACATGTGACTGACAGATGTTTCTTGTTGCCCAGGTGTTGCCTTTTAGGTTGATTGTCCAAACATTAAAGTGTGCCAAAGTGTGGAGAAAGAAAGGAACCGCTTATGATCCAAGCATACAAGCTCATCTGTGAAGCATGGTGGAGGTAATGTCATGGCTTGGGCTGCATGGCTGCTTCTGGAACAGGCTCATTAATATTTATTGATGATGTAACTGATGATGGTAGCAGCAGAATGAATTCAGAAGTGGACAGAAACATTTTGTCTGCCAATTTACGGAGAAATGCATTGAAACTAATCTGGAGGAAGTTTATCATGCAGCAGGACAATGACCCAAAGCACACTGCCAACAAAACAAAGGACTTCATCAGGGGGAAAAGTGGAAGGTTTTAGACTGGCCGAGTCAGTCACCTGACCTTAACCCAATACAGCATCACCTACTTAAGAGCAGACTGAAGGGAGAAACACCACGAAACAAACACGAACTGAAAGAAGCTGCGGTAAAAGCCTGGAATAGCATCACAAATGAAGAATGCAACAGTTTGGTGATGTCGATGGGTCGCAGGCTTGAAGCAGTTATTGCAAGCAAGGGTTATGCCACCAAATATTAAATGTTATCTACTCTAAGATTAGTTGTTTCATTACTTTTGCTCACCTAAGAATGCTGTGGTCTAATACAAAGGGAGATATGTCCTGAGTTGTTGAACACATCTAGATGTGAATACCAGGAAATGAGAGCTGAAATTCTGAACTCTTGTCTCATACTCATCTTTTGATCTTAAACCCAAATGTCTTCAGTGAACAACAAAAACAAAGGAGGTTGCCTTACTGTTCCAATACTTCTGGAGGGGACTGTATAGTATCTCATGTGCCATGTCTCACCATGTGCCGTATGCGAAAATTAGAGACTTCCTTAACAAAGGTTCATTGATTGTACTTCCTCCTCGTCTCATGTGAACAATGTTTTCTTCCTCCTCAGCTGGTGAGTCTGCTGCTGATTGCAGTGGCAGCCTGGGGGAAATGGTTTGGCATGGTCTCCAGCATCAGGGTGGTGGCGGTAGTCATCGGCGTGGGCATCTTCCTGTTCCTGGTTGCCTTTGTGGGGCTGTGTGGCGCCCTGAAGCACCACCAAGTCCTGCTCTTCTTTGTATCCTTTAGTACATCTGTAGTGTTTTTAGGAGCACAGGGAGTCACCCCATACATTCTGATAGTTGAAAATGATAGATAAAAAAGTGATAGATTAAATGTCCAATAGCCCAGAGCTGTTGGTGGATTTTATTTTTCTATTGTGTTATGAAAATAGTAAGAAGTAAGTAAGCCAGGTTCCTGTGTGATGAAGACTGAAGGCTTACACAGCATTGTTTACTGAGACCAACCACAGAGACACACTGCCAGCATCCAAAGTGAACAATGCTGAAGGGTACTTCCTGTCTGTACTTATCCTTCCTGTTTACCTAAGTTAACCTAAAGTCACAGTGTGTGTGTGTGTGTGTGTGTGAATGAAACAAAATAAAGATAATCTTGACCTTGGGTTACCTAGGAAATGGATAACAGTGCATCCTTGTCAAGACAGCTGCGTCAGTCAGTCGACCAAGCTTGCAGAGAGGAGTCTCACCTACTTCTTGAGTCACCAGCTGTCACCTTTCAATTACTTTTAGCACAGCAATTGACCCTTGGGAAACCCATGTCATAGTACCCCAAAAATTTCTTCACATGTTGGGCTAAGATTTCAGATTTTCATGATTTTTATTTAATCCAATGTAAACTTCCTAAACTTGGTCCAGTACATGATGATCCTGTTCATGGTGTTTGTCGTGCAGTTTTCGGTATCCTGTGCTTGTCTGGCCCTGAACAAAGAACAACAGGCATGTTTTTATGTCGTTTTTTTTTTTTTGTTTGTTTAGGCTGAACATACAATTCAATAATAGTTATTTTGGCCTACATATATAGTTTACCTCAGATAAACGTGAATACCATTTTTTCAGTTTTACGCAATTCTATATTTGCAAAAATCTATGCAACTTTTATACCTATAGTGACACAACCAGGTGATTTTCATTATTTACAGAACCGTTTGCTCGAGGTTGGATGGAACAAATCTGAGGCAACTCAAAGGGATGTAGAGAAAACACTCAACTGTTGTGGCTTCTCTAACATTAACTACAATGGCTCGTGTGCTGCTGTAAGTAAACCATCTAGAATATTCTCCATTTATTTTTCTTGTCAGCTGAATGTTGATTTGCGTGATCATACCTATGGCAGTTTTTAAATGTTCTCCTTTACTCCCCCTTCTCTAGATGTGTTTTCAAAACTCTTCCCAGTCTTGTGACAAATGCTCAAACATCATCCAGCAGTATGCAGGAGAGGTGCTTCAGTCTGTGGGTGGTATCGGCCTCTTCTTCAGTTTTACAGAGGTCAATAACATCTCATAGCAACAAAGCTAATGTGTTTTTAGAAATGTGGAATTTGTGTGATATTGTTGCAAACATGAAGCTAGATTGCACTGGGATGAAGTTTGTTGTAAATTTAGAAAACTGACATTTTTTCATGTATGTCTCCTTTTAGATCCTTGGAGTTTGGCTCGCCCACAGATACAGAAATATCAAAGATCCTCGATCAAATCCTGGAGCCTTTCTATAACCACTCCCAATTTAATAAACCTGAATAATTGCACTTCTATATAATTGTTTTTCCTCTTAACTTTGTAAACCACACATCTTAAAGCGAGACTGTAACTTTTGCTCTATAAATACCACTGTAGCCACAAGTGACCATTACAGAATAATGATGGCTAAAGTATAACAGTAACACAAGTAAAGAAAAGTCAGCGTTAAAATCAACAAACCGTCTCAGTAAAGTTTGCTCACAGCTAACATTAGCTACTAGTCACACCAGACTGAGTCAGGCTGTAACTACAACACCCCTGTGTATTGAACTTTGCAAAGTTTATTATTATTACTTATTCAAGTTATTAGTTAGTAATTCAACTTTTTGTGCGTAAAAAGAATGAGGTGTTATTTTATCTTTCAGAAGTTATAGTCTCACTTAGTATTTGCTGCTCAATTACTTTCATTGAAATTATTCAAATTTTGCTGTGTATCATCTGTGTGTGCTCACCATACACACACCTTGTGCAAATAAAGTCCAGGTGATTAGCATGATTGCTGGATGACTGTACTCACCACTGCTAGAATAACTATTCATGGGTGACCACAAACATTTACGTTTTTTGCAGCCAGTGAATTTTGGTGTTGGATGTCTAAACAGCAGGAAATGATTCAAATTAAATTCAAACCTGTTGCTGCTTGACATACATATTGTTATGAAAAATATGTATTTTTCTGTTTCCTGTTTTAATACTGTTTCATACTTAATGTCATTTTCCTCAATTGTCAAAAATAAACATTCAGCGTTGCAGTACAGGTGACACAGTAATTGTCAGATGCAGTGATGATGGAAAGGCATGTTGACTTGCTCACATTCGCCGTCCCAAACAGGATGCCAACCAGGAACTGCACTCGCTGTTTAGACTTCTCAGGCAGTCCAACCTGTTCACCAAGGTCACTGTGGAAACTAATAGCTCAGCAGCAGTACTGCCAACTTATAAAATAAAGTAAATGTGTGTTCACCATAATTAACTGCATTCAAAATTAATGATAATTTTATAATCACAATTCTGTACTGTCCCAGCATTGCAGGGTAGAGCTTGTTACATGGGCTTAATTTTTAACACATGGATTTTATAGGCCTGTTGCTTAGGCTGTTGAATGAGGCCTAGTAAGGATTGTAAAAATATATTGGTGTATAGATTTATGACTGAAAGATTAAGTGTTTGTTTTTTGTTTTATTAATTGTATTATTGCTCTTAATTCTATAACCGTGTGTAGCAAATGCTATGGCTCAGTTTCACAATATAGTTTCGTTGTGCAAAATGTTAGGCTTTTTACAAAGTGTACAGATCACTGAATCAATGCAACATGTGTAAAAAATGTTTTACTTCAACAACATTACTCTAGTGGGTAGCACTGCAATCTTAATAATTACTTTACCACCACTGCCATACATTTCAGATTTAAGACTTGTGGAAAAGGGAACAAAGGAACAGTAAATGCGGTTTGTTTTGACTGTCTGTGTTTTAATGCTGTATAATTTCCAGCATTACAGTCTTTGTGTACTTTACTGGATATTTACTAGTAATAATATCTCAAGTTTGGTGTTTTGAAGAAAGACCAGCTTTGTGGTCGAACCAGAACAGACAGAGTCTACAGCTACACTAGGGACTGTGTGAGGTTGTACGTTGCCACAGTGGTGCTTTGAGCTAAATGCTAATTTTAGCATGTTCACCCCATCCATGCAATAACATGCTGATACTAAGCATGTAAAATGTTATGTTTGCCATGATCGCCATCTTAGTTTAGCACGCTAACATTTGCTAATTACCAGTAAAAACAGCTAGGACTGTTGGGAATGTCATTAAGTATTTAGTCATAAATCAGATTATTGAACAAATGGAAATTTCAACCACAAAATGAAGTCTCAAGGGGTGTGTGAACCAAATTTTACGGCAAGCCATCCAATAGTTGTTGAGACATTTGACTTAAGGCTCAGGATATCAATCTCATGGGATCATTAGAGGAGAAGTCAGGATATTGTCGGAGTCATTATGATTCATCCTCTGAAACTAGCCATTGAATGTCTAGAGAATTCTGTCCAACCACTAGATGTTGAGACATTTCCGTCTGGACTAAAGTGGTGTAAAATACAGCCACAATCATCATTTCATCTTGTATGAATGCAGGATTTACTGTGGTGTAAAGTCAGATTGTAGACTACATCATCTTTATTTACAGTAATGGAATATGTTCAAGAGATAAAACCTCTGCAGACTTAATAATAAAGTTTATTTATATCGCACTTATCAAAACCAGAGATTACAATGTGCTTCACAGAAAAGAAAGATGTTTACTATTTTATTTTATTTGCAGCAATGATTAAAATTGTGTGTATTACCTCACTATGTGAGACTTTAAGGAAAAAAGTAGCCTAGCAAAGCATTTTATGTGAAGAGTTTTACAAGTGGAAACTGAGCCCAAAGCATTTGTAAAATACTGTAATACCCACTATTCTGGGCAGTAAAAGCTTGGAAGTACTTCCAGGGTCAAAGGTTGGGCGGGTGCGCATACACAGAGAGGAAGCACATGGTAAGTATGTTGTTCGTGCCAAAGTTTGTTATTTGTAATTTGATGCAGCAGGATCAACAATTAATAATGAAATGAAAATTAGCACAGATGGTTAAAGGATAAGAAAATAATTGAGTTGGCATGTAAAATGTACAATTTGATCACTAGAGGGATAAAATTGCTTAAGTAATGTCTGACTTTGAGATTGGACTAAAGTAACTTACATCTCAAGAAAAATCATTTTTGGTTCCTTATGTCTTCTGTCTCCTTCTGCAGGGATCAAGACATTTTGTGTTCCATCAAACTCATGTTTCTTTGTATTTGTTCAAGCAAATATGGCAACCTCTTGTCAGAACACTTGCAATTGTGCCCCTCAGCTTGGTAGCTTCAAAGCCAGATCTTTTTGTATGCAAGGCCATAAATCTGCTCTCGTTCTGAGGCTGTTTTCAGTGAAATGGTGTCTGAAGCATGTGCAGCACTCTGAGTTTATCTGGGGAGCTTTTATCACATCGTCACCTCAAATTGTCTGCATACTGTTGATCATAACTGAAGTGTGGGCATGGGCACATTTTTTTATCTGCTGAGATCTTCTCATTTTCCTCTTCGGCTATTTTTCATCCAGATAAAGAAAACATTACTACACATCATCTAGGCTGAAACTTCTACAAAGCCCTTTGCATGTCTTTGTGACTGGCGGTTTTTAATATATGATGTCTAGTCAGTCTCTGCAGTGAGTCTCCTGTTCTGATCAAGCTCTCTAACTTTGGTAGCTTGTGAGAGAACTTGGCAACCCCAGAAAAGTTCAAAAATGTTCTCATCCTTTTTTTCTGTGTGTCTGTACAAGATGCTTTATGACCATGCGTCATTGTTTGGTGTCCCCAGAGATCTTATTTCTTGCAGACAGATCCCTTTTGATCAGCTCTACATCCCCACATCTCTTGTCTCCTTATGTAGTAAAGATAGTCCTGCTATAAGGTTTATTCGCCTTGTAGTCTGAGTAGACATGAGTTAATCTTTGTTTGAACAAGGGCTAAAGAAAAACACTACAATAAATATGAGCTTGCAGGGGGTTTAGGTAATGCAACAGTATTTTTTGTTTTTCATCAATGTAATACATTTCAGGATAACATGGTCACAGTAGTGGAATGTAACTAAGTACTGTACTGCATTTGAGTATTATACTCCTACAATTATTTGACAGCTTTTGTTACTTTTTGAATTAAGATTTTACATACAAGTTAAGGTATGATCACTTCATAAAATTCAACACATTTATAAATATTAAGATTTCTGTTTTTGCTTGTGACCTCTTACAAAACATCGATGTGTAGTTGTGGCCCCTTGAAACATTTCAGATGTCTATTAGTTAGCAGTTTCACCAAAGAGATCGTTCCCCTTGAAAGATCTTCATTTAAATAACTGTTAGAGGCCAGAGGACATTAAAATGATCCAATATTTCACAAAAAAAGATCAGAGAAAATTCTGAAAATGTCATTAAAATTTATGAAGCAGAACTTTGTTTTTTCTTCTTCCCTCTCCCATTAACCATCTCCCACGCCGTCAGATTTCTCTGGTGACCCCTAGGTTGGGAACCACTGGAATGAAGTACATAAAACTAGTTCCACCTCGAGCAACTATAACAGTAAAATGCTGCACATTGATGCATCAGAATTAATAATGTAATTGCCCCTGTGCAGCGCGTTATTTGGCTGTTGTGTGGCGTTGGTTAGATTGGTAGTGGGGTGATGTTGGTTGGCTCACCTGTATGTCGCGATTAGCTTGCGTGCATGTTGGGGGCGTCAGGTGCGGGCCTGGACTGGGCTGGTGTGCGGCTCTGTCCTGTGTGCATGCTGTGCATCCTGATAATTGTGTTTAGGTTTTCTGAGGGGTTTGGCAGCGGGTTGTTGGAGGGGTGGGGGACCGTGGAGATGGGGTTGACAGGGTGGGTTGGGTATGCAGGCTGTTCCTTTTTAAGCTGGTTGGGGGGTGTTTTCTAGGGATTTTGGTGCTCGGATTGGATGCTTGGTGGTTGTACAGGGATCCTGTGTGGGGAAGGATTGTGCTTTGGAGTGTGACGATGGTTGTTTTGTGGTCACGTCGCAACCCTCTGGTGCTCCTGATTGTGTGGGAGGGGTGAGGTGGGGGCATCGGCAGGGGTGGGGGCATCGGCAGGGGTGGGGCTCCCGCTTCTTCCCCCTGCCGGCTCTCTCACATTCAGGAGTCCCTGGGGCACAAGGCCGGTGTTGTCGGGGTGGGTTTTGGCCCTCTTCCTTGGGGTGGTTGATTGGGAGGGCTGGGCCCCCCTTCAGGGGACAGGACCGGCCTCAGGTTCACGGGGCTTGGGGGCTGTTGGCTTTGCCTGCACTCTGGGGGGGCATGCCTCCGGCTGGGCTGGGGGACTGTCTGCACTGGTTCTCCCGCGTTATCGTTCCCTGGCGGTGGGGAGCTCCCCGGCACAGCTTTCTGCTGTTCTCCCTCGGGACATGTGGTCTGGGGTCCTTTGCGCTTTGGGGGGTCACGGGGTGCTCTGACTCCTGGGGCTGGTGGTATCTGGGCATGGCGCGGGTCGATCTGGTTGCGGTTCAGAGGGCTCAGGGTCTCTGGATGGCTGCTGGGCATTGGTTTGTGCATTGGAATACGTGGGACATATTTCGTTGTTGGCTTGGAGGGACCAGTTTGCGTCCCTCGTTTGCTTCGTCAGATCCATACTTCCCCATTTCTCTGTCGGACGGTTATCGGACTCCTCTTGGAGACTGAAGTATAAAGTTAGTTTTCGGGATGTGCAGTGTGGGAGCGGGGCAGGGCTGTGCTCCGGTTTATTCTGGGCCTGGAATTCCCGGCCCTGGATGTGTGGGTGGGTTGGTGGTGACATGCAGCTGGGCTAGTTGATTTTGCCTCGTTGTTGGTTTGGCTGGTGTTGCATGGCAGCCTGGGGGCGTGCTGTGCATGGGGGATGTTAGCTGGCGCGGCCAACAGGCTTG